GCCCTACAAGCAGAGGTTAAGGGACTTGATCGTGTTCAGCCTCCACAAGAGAAGGCTGAGGGGGGATCTAGTGGCCATTTAGAAACTAGTCAGGGGGGACCAGCAGGCATTGCGGGAGTCCCTGTTCCCCTGAGCACTCCCAGGAGTGACAAGAAATAACGGTCACAAGCTGGCAGAGGGTAGATTCAGGCGAGACATCAGGAGGCGCTACTTCACTGTCATGGCGGCTAGGATCTGGAACCAACTTCCAAGCGAAGTGGTGCTAGTTCCTACCCTGGGGGTCTTTAAGTGGAGGCTAGATGAACATCTCGCTGGGGTCGTTTGACCCAGTACTCTTTCCTTCCATGGCAGGGGGTTGGACTTGATGATCTGTTCAGGTCCCTTCCGACCCTACTAACTATGAAACTATGGATGCTTCTGGCACTTAACTCTTGAACCTTTCTCATTCTGATGTAAGGAGACACTCCTGTCCACTGTGATAGCTATGGGGAGAGCCAGGGGAGGTGAGACAGTCAAGTGTGTCAGTGCAGTAGCAGGAGTTCTACCATGTTTTAACTTGGGATCCCTGTTCCTCATGAATGAAGCTGTTTCCAGGAACCTAGAGAACAAGGCAAGAACTGGGATTCCTTCATCCTTTCCTGCTTGGCCTTTATCACAGAGCTTCTTTGTTACCTGAGTTTTACTCACCTGTGAAATGTGTCAAATACTGTTCCTTATCCAGCAGGTAAACAAGGTATAATTAACATTGATGAAATGCTTTGAGGCTGTTGGATAGAAGGTGCTATAGGAATGGAAAAGCTGACGTAACAAAAAGGGAATCCTCATACTGGCTTCCTTTTTTTCACACATCTCTAATCTTGAACTGTTGCTTCTAGCTTCCCTGCTTCCTTTCCCATGGTGGGCCTACTCCATGGCCTGCCACCTCTCAATGCTGCAGGGCTATGTCTTTTTTTTTAGAGATCAAGTTCTTCAGTAGTGAGAGCAACAGCATTGTCTTTATTCTGCAGTACTGTAGCCTATTGTATCCAGAGCCAGAAATATTCTGCCTGATGTGGAGCTTGCCGAAGAGAGCCACCTCTCCATCTCTCCTCTTTCCTTTCTCTTCTGTCCTCACATGCCTCCAGGACAGCTGCATGCCTGTGATGCTGCCCTGTTGGTACAGTGTTCCATTTGCTAGCTTCTGCACACTCATGCCTCCAGCTGCACATCTGTCTCTGTCTCCTAACACTGGCAGATGCAACCCCCTTGTCCTTTGTCTGTGCTCTGAAGTGACCTTGGGCTGCCTGTTCATACAAGATGTTCATGGCAAAGCTCTCTTGGACATTATGAAGGAGGCTCTGAAGTTGTTCACTTTTTTTCCCTGGTGCCATCTATGGCATAGTATTTCAGCAGCTTCTAAACTGTCCATTTCCTACTCTGTGTAAGAATAGTTGTTGGAGTTTTTTTAAAGAGTCCATGGGACTTGGGTTCCCAGATCTCATTGAAATCTACTGTGAGCTGGGCATCTGACTCTCCAGGGCTGTCCTTTTAAAACCCCAGCCAGAACCCTGACAGCTTTGGAATGTTGGCAGTGGAAGGCTGGGGCTAACGGGGCTTAGCACCCCCCCCCAAACATGGGGCAGTAGGTAGGGCTGCAGGACAACCTGGGTGTGGGCTCTGGGTGGCTGCAGCGGGGGGTTGGTGGGGGTGGAGCACAGACTCAGACACTTGTAGTGGCCTGTGAATCACTGCCCAGCACAGCAGGCAAGTCTCAGTCTATGAAGGGGAAGAGGGTAGTATGTGGGGGTGGGGCAGATCAAGGCCCCCACAATGAGGGAGAGAATGGGGCAGGGGCTGGGGTGAACAGGGCCCCAGGGTGGGTTATGGGACTTTTGGAGTCCTGGGTAGCTCATCCAAGGGTGCGGGGGGCTCCTGCCACTGTGTGTATCCCGGAGGAGGCACAGGCAGGGGTTGGGAAAGGCCCTCTGGATTTGTGTGCGGGGCAGAGGTAGGCTGCACTCCATGCCCCGCTGCCTTTGCTGCTGCTGCAGGAGCTGCGTGACACCATGTGCCTGCTGCCACTGGGTGGGCAGAGGACACAGCATAGCACAGGGGCAGCAGGTATCCCAAGGCAGTGACAGTGGGGCACAGAGCCCAGCCCACAATGGCAGGCCACCTCTGCCCTGCGCTCAAATCCAAGGGGCACATGCCCCCCACCCCCATGTCTCCCCCCAGGTGCACAAAGTGGTTGGAGCTCCCCTGTACCCCTGGATGAGGCTTCTGGGGCTCCAGTCATCCCACAACTGGCCCCAGGGCCCCATTTGCCCCTACCCCTGCCTCTGTCCCACTTCCTCCCTTCCTCACTATGGGGTCCTTGATCTGTGCCCGCCTCTTCCCCTCCACAGACTTACCTCCTCGGGGGGAGGTGTGCACACACGCTCAGCCCCCTCCCCTCCCCCCCAGCCAAATATTATTTTCTCCCCCTGCCTATGCTTTGGGATAAAATTGGGAGTTAAAAGGGTCATTGTCACCACTGAATGCAGGATGAATGACCCCACTGTGATGGCTAGAATAGCTAGAATTACTGCCTGAGCCTCTGGCTTTTACTTATAATTGCAGTATTTCCAGTCACTCCTCTGGACACGCTTTTCCAAATCAAGATGGCAGATAGATTATTGTGGTGAGGGTTTCTCTCAATATTCTCAGTTTGAACTGTGAGTAACTTGGTGTATGGAAAAGCTGGTACATCCTCAAAGGCTTCCCTTTCTGCCAGGTGACCTTCTTTTGAACTGCTGTTTTCCTTCTCTCCAGCTGACAAACTGGATGCTGACTACATTGAGCGGTACCTGGGACAGCTGACTCCAATGCAGGAAAGCTGTTTGATCAGACTGCGTCAGTGGCTGCAGGAAACACACAAAGGAAAGGTAGGAAGCCAGAGGTAGAGCTTGTCATCTGGAGGCATCAACAGAGGTCTCCAGAAAACTCCAGGGTCATCTGTGGTGCTCTGGTCCAGTTGCTTGAATCACACAATGCACACACACACAAAAATATAATTGTAGGCAAAATGCTGCTATTAAAAGTCTGTTGTTACTTTAATAAGTTTTAGCCTGAACTTTGGGACTAAGCTGTAGAGCCTGCCTGACCTCAAAGCGTTGCCCTTCATATCAGTCTAATTAGATATGTGTGTCCTATTGAGCTGATTTGCGTAGGACATAGCTGTTTGAGGCCCGTCTACATAACCTGCATCTGCTGTGTTGCTTACAGTTAGTGTTAGTTGTGTGCATGCTGTCTCCATCACACAAGGTAGGTAATATAAGCCAGTAGCCAGCTGCTGCTTTTGAAAAGAGCTGGGTCTCATCCTATCTAAGTCTCTTGTGAAAATCTTGTATTTCAAACCTGATGCAGAATGCTCCATATACTGGAGTAGGGACTGTCTGCCTGCTTGTTTTGTGGGAATAAATGACACTTGAACTTACAAGTGCCCTGAATAATGGAATCCAGAAGTTCCTGAATGTGATCTGCCACTGGAGCCAGGCTGGAGCACAAATGCTTTGTAGGGAAATGTTTGGCCCCAAAGATGGGGAGAGACTGTGGCCCAAATATGTCTGTACCATCACTCTGTTAATTAAAACAGCATTGCACCAGGGGTGAGTTTGCCTACAAATTTATCAAGACTTCTCCAGTGGAGCTTGAGAGGTTCTACAACCCTGATGAGGGCATGCTGCCTGGGCTTCTTTCCATCACCCCAACCAGACACACATCCAGGAGTTGACCCTACTGAATGGAGATTTCCACCCAGGGCTGGACCATGCTTCACCAGTTTTGGCTGTTCTGTATATGTCTGTGTGAAAACTTGTTTGCTCCACCATGTGAGGAAAATGTACCTGACTGCTTGAAGTTAGCAGTGCTAAGTTTCTGATTGGATCTAACATACAAACCAAAAGCTTTGTGTAGTCACAATCAGTAGCTTGACTCACGCCTGTGAAATGCAAGTGTTGGAGGGAGGGACTGGTTCATATCTCTTAGTCCTGTTCCAAGTTTGCAGGCTTCTATTGGTAGTGGGAACCAAAGGGTCGGAGAATAGATGTTTTCTGTTTCTGTTTCCAAGGGACAGGGTGTGGGGTAGGCAAGGAAGTCTTTAATGTTCATCTTTGATTTGGCTGCTTAGGAGCAGAATTCTGAGCTCTGAGTAGAGCTTTCTGTCCAGCTCTCCTAGCCTGTGGGCAGACTTTCCATCAGACCTGTTTGGGTCATTTACGAGAGTGGGTGGGGAACCAAAAGATCCAGCCTTCCTGAAAGCCCAGAGTAGGGTCCAACCCTCAGATTGCCTAGAGCAAGGGAGACGGGAGGTGTGCTTGGGTGGGCTGGCTACAGTGAGTGCTGTATGTAAGGGGACTGGCCAAGAGAATAGAAAATAGGAGAGAGAAATCCAGGGCAAACCCTGTCCACTGGGGATCTGGTGAGTCCCAAAAGTGGCTGCTCCCTAACAGAGTAGGTGGTTGCTCAAAATCAGTTACACAATGTGGGATGGGAGACTATTAAATTAATTCCCCGTGATAAAGGTTACTCATTTTGCTGGTAAGTGCTTCTGAGAGGCAGGGGGATTTGTCTAGGAGTATTGTACTTCCCTTTCCAAAAGAAACAAGAATTTGCAAACCGTGCTATAGCCAGATTTATTGCATGCTGCTTTATGGTGCTCTAGGCAGGGAGAGAGAGAGTGTTATTGGTGTGTGTCAGGTTGAAAATGCCACATGTTTTTATGTTTGTTTGTTTTTTTAATCCCATAATGAACATACATCCTCCACCCCAAAGGAAAAGCACAACAAAGATGAGGCAGTTCAGTTTTTCTGAGATAAATTTGCCAAGGTCAGCCCCAGTTTAGGTGTATGTGGCTGGCCTCACTGAATTTACCTGAAAGTGTAGCTAACATGTCTGGTCTTCGTCATGCTTTCCCCTCAGGATGGCTGAGTTCATGTGCATTCTCCCGAGGTAAAAAGCACAGCATTCTCAGCAGTGGAGGCAGGTCCTCGGACACATGGGTGTGCTCTGGGATATAGAAACTGCGGTCCATGCAGCAGAACAATGTGAAATCCTTTATCTTATATGCTGGCGATGTACTAACTGTTGGACCTCCAGCCTGACTCAAATATGTCTGGAAGCCATGTTTGCAATCTGTCAGGGCCCATGTTTTGAGTTGAAAAGCACAATAAAAATGTGTGTTCTTTGTTTGTTTGTTTTTTCTCTTTAGTCAGAGGCTGGGGAATGGAAGCCGGAAAAGGTAAAATTTGGAGCATGTGAGCAGTGTGAAAGAGCTGCCTCTTGGGGTGGTCTAAGCTCTGTGTGTGTGTGCTCTTTTGCTGGCAGCTGCTTGCTGTGCTCAGCTGCACTGGATCTGACAGTAGGTGAAAGCAGCTGCATTAGTGACAGCTGTAGGTAGCCTTGTGCCCTTTTTATGAGTTTTGTTTATTCCCCATTTCCTGGGAGATCCTTGACAAGCAGATGGGTGATGTTAGCAATTCAAACCTCATCTCGGGTCCCTTTTATTGCTCTCCCATCTGCTTCTCTTAAAACAGCTTGCTTGTCAGGATGGTTTGAAGGCAGAAGCTTGACTTGTGCCATTCAAGTTCATTCTGAGCAGGCAGATTTCTTGCTGTGACATTCTCGTTTTTTTAGTCCACGGGTAAATATATCCTTGTCATGTCTTCCAAAGATTACTGCAGGCATCTGTTTCTGGCAATTTGCCTCTTTAGATTTTTGTGCTAATTAATACTCTCTTCTGGTCCAGTTTTACCATCTATCCCCTACCCCTTTTCATGTTGTTGTAAGGTGTGCTGTAATTTGAAAACCGCTTGATTTATTTGAGCAGGAACTGGAAACTCATAAATGCAACTGTTAGCACTGCAGATTCCTACCCAAACCTCTAAATGGGCCTTTGTTACTGTTTAAAGCAGGATGTATTGTTACTCCAATAATTAGAAGTATAGGGTAGAATGAAAGCTTTGTTTTCCAGCACGTGGGAATTACTCCAGCTGGAATTCCCTTAATCATGTGCCAAATGGTCCCTAGTTTCAAAATTTCATGTCTTTAACTGGGTCTTAAAAATTGATTCTCTGTATGAGCAACGTTAAATCCCCTTGGAGCTCTGCATCTGACCCAAATGTAAGGCGTCATTCTTCCATGTGCATCACTATACTGAAGACTGTAACTCTGTCTCATACCTATGCTTTCTGGTCATTGCTGTGACTAACTTTCCTCTTGTGTAGGAAGTAGTGTCTTAATCATAGATCACAGACTTACAGAAAAAGATGCATGAACTCATTGCAACCTGAGGCCTTATAAGGGCCTTGGAAATATCACAACTTCTATGCAATGACCATCACCTTTAGATTACCTTTTACTGGGACACTGAGGCTTCACTGAATGTTGCTGGTTTTGCTTTTCCTCTGCTGTCTTTGTCCCATGGCTACTGGCTTCCTGTGGTCAAAGTTGTGAGTTCAAATCATTCTGTAAAAATTCAACTTTTAAATTTTCTGTGACAAGGAAAAGTCTTCATGAATACCTTCTAAATACATCTGAGATTTGAAACCCTGCTTCCTCCCATATCTAGTCTGTACAGATGTAAAATTGACAATGGAATAGAAATGTTAATACTAACTCAGCCTCCTTCTACTATATCAATTTTTAGCAACAGTCTCTATTGCCGCCTCAAATCAGTCTGAGATACATGACTTTTTTGCTTCTGCTGCCTCCTTCCATTTTTAGCAGTGCATCAGTGAGCTGACAAAAGGGCTTTGACTCTTGAACACATGTTTTGTTTGTATTACAGTGGTAGACAGTTTGCCCAATTGGGATTGGAGCACTATTGTGCTAACACTATAAAAATGCATTGGGAGAGGCCAGCTGTGCTCTGAGACCTTACAGTCTAACCTTATTTTGTTACATTTTGCCTCAGTTTAAACAAACTGAGGGAATACGGTGAGGAAGATGGAAACAACCATGAGTGGAAGGTGAGATTAGCTGCATGCACAACTTGCAGGTTTGGAGTGCAATTCAGCAGTGTTTGGGATCTGTTAATGGTGTCAGTAATACTTGCTGACAACCTGTCTGCTTATTATTAGCAGGCAATTTATCTTTAACTTCAAAGTAGAATAGGATCTCTGCAGGGAATGGAAGGAAGTTGAGAGAGAGGCTTTAAACATTATTTTATGGGGATGTTCCACACCAAGGTGGGGAGGAAGCACAAATGTTTTTGAGAGAAGTGAATGAATAGGCATTTTGATGCTGGAGGAATTAACTAAGGGGAACCAGGGTCAATTTGATTTAAATCAAATTAATTTAAATCAGTGGTCAGGAAGCCTCCATGTAATCATTGTTTTCTACAAAAAGTTCATTCTTGTTAGAATCATAGAAAGAAGGACCAGAAGGGACCTGTAAGATCATCAAGTCTGGTCCCCTGCCATGGGCAGGAGGTAATTGGGCTCAAACAAGCTCAGCCAAGGTATTTGTCCAGCCTTCTCTTAAAGACTGCCAGAGATGGCAGCTGCACCACTTCTGCTGGAAGTGTGTTCCAGATTCTAGTTATCTGTACGGAAGATGGGTTTTTCCGTATGTCTAGCCACAACTTTTCTTTGACTAGCTTGTGTCTGTCAGTTTGTGGTTTCCTGGGGGGTGCTTTTCTGAAAAGTTGTTCTAGATCCTGGTGTACTCTCCTGACATATTTGGAGGTGGCTACCAAGTCACCTCTCAGCCTTCTTTGGCTCAGGCTGAACAAACCCAGATCCCAAAGTCTCTCCTCATAAGGCCTCTCACCCAGGCCCTTGATTATGCAGGTGGCCCTTCTCTGCACCCTTTCGAGCTTGTCCACATCCTTCTTGAAGTGTGGTGCCCAGAGCTAGATGCAGTACTTCAGCTGTGACCTCAGGAACCCTAAATAGAGGGGGAGGAGCACCTCTCTGGATCTGTTGGCAACACATCTGCTGATACATGCCAGAGCTGTATTTGCTCTGTTGGCGACTTCATCACACTGGTGGCTTATATTCATCCTCTGGGCAACTGACACCCCTAAGTCCCTTTTGGATGCAGCGCCAGCCAGTGGACCACCACCCATTGTATAGATATGCTGAGGGTTCTTCCTACCCAGATGAAGGATCTGGCATTTGTCCCTGTTTGAACTTCATATGATTTTGTTCAGCCCATAGGACCAGCCTGTCAAAGTCTTTCTGAATCCTTGACCTGTCTTCTGATGTGCCCGCTTGTCCCCACAGCTTGGGATCACCTGCAAACTTAATCATTACACTTTTCACTCCCAAATCCAGGTCATTAATAAAGGTGTTAAAGAGCAGGGCACTGACCCCTGGGGTACACCACTGGAGACAGCCTTGCAGGATGGGGCCACCCCATCAGTTACGACTTACTGGGATTGGCTGCTGAGCCAGTTCCCAACCCACCTCACTGTAGTGTGGTCTAGGCCAGTACTCTCCAACTTAAATGAGAGGATTTAATAGGAAACAGTATCAAAGGCCTTGCTGAAATCTAGGTAGATGACGTCCACCTCCTGTCCCATGTCTAGATGGTTAGTTACCTGGTCATAAAAGGACACCAGGTTTGTTGGGTATGTCCTCCTGTCTACAAAGCCATACTGGTTGCTTCTCAGTACCCCACCATATTTGAGCTTGTGGTTGATGGCCTCCTTGACAATTTTTTCAAAGATCTTCTCCAGGACTGAAGTCAGACTGACCAGTCTATAGTTGGTAGGTAGGGTTGTTGTTTGATATAACCTTAATATATATTATTCACAACTCGGAGATAGATGTAGGTTTAATATTTAGAAGGTACACACTATAAGTTTTAAAACAGTGATTTATTTTGATAGTTTTTCAGATTAATTTTGCAGCTGTGTCGGAAAACTGGATTATAATTTGGTTATGTTATTTACCAAAGCAAATCGAAGCAAATACTTGTGAAGTCATTGCGTGGTGAAATATCTCCAGTTCACTCGATTAATCATAGATATTTGGAGGATATTTATTAAGAGGATGTCAGATGAGCCACTGCAGCCATATGTTATTAGCTTGGGGCTTTCTTCAAGACTTCTTCTCATAGTTGATTTCTTCTCTCTTTTACAGCCTAGCAAGCCTGCTGTCATGATAGATTTTCGCTTCTACCATAGAATTCCCTCACTAGATCTCAAATCAGTGAAGAGGCTATACTCAGAAACTTATCCCTCAAGACTTCTGGAATACTCTGCTCAAAACGTTTCTCTTGTTTCTATTGTCTCTCCCTACTTGCATTTAACTCCAGACCCTTCCTCCTTGCCCAGAACTACTACTTTATTCATTTAATTGCCCCCAACAATCCTTTATTCATTTAACTTGAAACTGTGCACTTTTAGAGAGAGGTAAGGGCTTGACTCTGTGTACACAAACTTTTAGAGAGACAGTAGGGTTGATGGGTAGGTAATCAGGTCTGTTCTGTCTCATCTCCATATACTGCTGTTAACAAGGAGATTATCTCTGGAGACACAAATCCACAGTTTGAGAACTGAAACTAAGCATCCCAGAGATGCTTAATGGGATCGTCTAGACTAAGCACTGAGTCCCATTGGGTAGAGTGGTTTTCTTCAATTTTTACTAATTTATTGAGGAGCCTCTGGGAATCCCATAAGATTGGGCCCCTTATATAGTCCATGGCCTGTTGTGACCTATTTATAAAACTTTTCTAAAAAGATTACATGAATATATTGTCTCAAATAGTATATAATTGGAAGTTATAATCCCTATTCTGTGATGATATCTTTGAGTTTTAACATATCTTAAATTAAAACTATTTTATATAGATTATTTTAAAGCATCTTAAAAATATGATTAAATTAAAAAAAGATGTAAATAAAAAAATCCCATCTCTTTTTATTTACCACCCCCCATACACACATTGATTTTTATCCACCCTGGGTAACATATGGTAAAAGAAAAGGGGAAAGTTGCAAGGGGGGGTACTTTTGTAAAGACATGAAAGATCTTAATGTGGTGTGGAAGAGCAGGAAAGGGGACCTGCAGCGAAGAGTGATGGGAGGCCTACACAGAGTTCTTCTTAGCGTTCTATATTGCCAGGTGAATAAAGCCTGCAGGGGGAGTGTCTGTTCCCAACCTGCACAGCCTTGACGAGTCTCAACAGTTACAAAAGGCTAACCGGGTTAATGGGTAGACTGATGGTGTTATTCTTCCTTTGCATGGTTCTGTGTGGCTTTTTTGTCTCTTGTGGTCTTGTTCAGCTCTCCAGGGAGGTAACATTACAGCTTGGTTATTTCCATGCAGAATTTGTCTTTTTCTGCTTGTGAGGTAGCTAGCTGGGGAAATGTCAGGAGACCACAACTGGCTTGGAGTTCTCTGGAGCTTCCAGCAGGTGGCTCAGTATACTCACTTCTTAGTCTTGCAGTATTTCCAGAGTGAATATACATGATGTGTAGGTCCAGGTAAGTAGTAGGGCCATCTCTCTGGGGGGGAAAGGAGGACAGGGATTGGCTTATTTCCCTGCAGCCCTGGCATTTTTTTACTACAGCTAGCTGGAGCAGGCACATTGGAGAAGGAACGGACATGAACTCGCAGTCATTCTCCGTTCCCCTGAGGATCAAGAAGCTGCTGCTATGTCTGCTGTGTTTGTGGAGAGGTGTGTTGATAATGGGACAAGTCTAACCCTTTTGAATGTTTCTTCTTTTTTTCTCCTTCAGATCCCCAAAGATGAGCATATCCTTCGATTCCTTAGGGCTCGTGACTTCAACATTGACAAAGCACGGGAGATGCTCTGCCAGTCGCTGACCTGGCGCAAACAGTACCAAGTGGACTACATTCTGCAGACCTGGAGACCTCCGCCCCTTCTGGAGGAGTATTACACTGGAGGGTGGCATTACCAGGACAGAGGTAGGAAGCCATCTCTGCACCACTGCCACAGTATAGTGCTCAATGAGACCTCATAAGTAACCTGTAGCTGTGTAGAGCCAGTTGGGTTAACACTGTAACGTAATGAAGAATCCCGTCATGAGAGAGATTCCTAATAGGTATGAATGTCCTCATTGTTTGAATGTTGTCTAGTTACTTTCATATGTGAATAGATCAAGTCTAAGGCCGTGTGTAGACAAAACGAGGGGCATGCGTGCACAACACTTTAAAGTGGGTTAAATGCTTTTGCACCACTTTAATGATGTTGAAGTTTGCACACGTTGGTGATGTATTGTTTAGTAATTCCAGCTGATGTAGCAAGTTCGGCGGTGTAATGTTTCTCAAATGACTTGGGGTGCAGCAAACTAAAACTCCTTTGGGGAGTTTGTTTGCTGCCCTGCAGCCACGAAGTGAAGCACCAGGCTTTGTGCAGCTCAGGGGCTCTGCAGGAAGCCCTGCAGAGCTTCCCCCCTCCTCCCCCCAGCAGCCCAGGGACTGCTCCAGCCATGAGTAGCTTGCCCTCCCCTCCCTGCTGCCGGAGAGGCAGGTAAGTTTGGGTGTGTGCACAACATGGGGATTTAAAGGGCCCTAAATTGAAGTGGTGTTTTTAAAAACGCATCGCTTCAATTTAGGGCCCCCATTTTGTCTACACATGTCCTAAATGTTCTTTTCACAGGAGCATACTTGGACCACCATTTCTGTTCTTTGAATTTTTATGATAAAGTCAAGTTATTAACACTCTTTGTAATGAAAATTTTCCTACTAACCTTTAAAGGACAGATTCTGAGGATGAAACACAATGTTAGAGTCCTGCTCATTTGACCTTCAGCCTCTCTGAGCCTGTTGGCAAGGAGGTTGTGATGTAATCACCTAGTTGCACTGGATTGAGAATATCAGCATCTGTT